GATAAAAAAAAAGCAAATTGTAATATGTTCCTCACCCCCTCCCCCCCCCCGCAAGTCGAACAGCGCCAACGAGTTATATGCCAGCTATTTGATCATATTTTAATTAATTCGTTCTTAGCACCGAACGCGATCCTGGAGAGCGTAATCGTCCAAGGGGCGCTTCGCTAGATCGTGCTCTGTATCCGGCCAATGAAAACAGACCGCCTCCTCGTGATGTGCCTATTCGTGAGTGCTGGATATCCTTTTTGCTAAATCGTTTCGGAGACAACTCATATGTTCAGAGCCTCCCGTTGCTAATTACGCTAGAGGTGACAGACATCCACAGCGCAGTCTTGCTCCGCGTACGCCTTTGAATATTCTTTACATGCCATAGCTTTTTAAACTATTCTCTTTCAGAGTACGTTCCAAAGCCGGGCCCAGTGCCATTTCGTGAAAGAGTTCCTTCGAATCTCACTGACTTATCTGACTCGGTATTCGAAGAGCAGTGCGTTCGTTGTGGGGTCCCTCGCCCAGCGAGTTCGGGCTCTGACCCTAGGCGTGCATACGCTTTGGATTCTCGTCGCGAATTTCGCCCAGCAGTACGCTCTAGCACATCCTCAAGTGTCAAAGAAAGAGAGCGAGAAAGTCCTCAAAGCAAATGCCTCATTCAACTCACTGTTCATGAAGCTCGCGGACTTCCACCTGTACGGGATGAAAGGTGCTGTTGCTGTAGTGGTAATTCTAATTTATGTAATGAAATAACGTAATCGAGTTGCTTGCAGAAATCGTGTTGTTTCTCCGAACGCATATGTTTCCGTACTGGGGAGAGACGGTGAACTTCGTTCATCGATTTGTGAACGTTCTCGCCGTCCTTTATGGAATTGGACGGCGCGATTTTACATTTGTGGAGAAAGACGAAACATAATCGTGAAAATACTTCATCATGATATCAGTGGCGATATGGTGAGCGAAAAGTAATTGTGTAGGAGTTACACGATTGTTCGCTGCGGATAAAGGGGCGTGTCAAACGGGATGGATTTGGTGCCGCGCCAGACGCGTTTCCCTCCAGTTGTTGAAGCGAGCAAGCAACAGGATGGTATAATCTCATCCGCATCAGTCGTTTTTCTTTGATTGTAGTCGCTTACCCGCCTCAACAACTGATGGGAAACAAGTCTGGCGTCGCGCCAATCCCGTCTCCCGGCGCGCACCTTCATCCGCAGCGAGCACACTATATCTAAATTGATAATTTTGTGTTTTCTCGATCCAGTGGTCAGTTGACGCATCAGCGATTCTAAGGTATGTTTTGTGGTGAGAGTGACTGTACTTTGCTGAAGGGAGCTTTGGCTGGGTGAAAGTGTTGCATTTTTTCTATAGTGCTCCATTAAAGGGTTGTTTATGCCTTCTACTTATTACCGTAATGCTGTACCCCCTCTACCTCGCTGACTTTTAACAGTGTAGTGGCGTGAACTAGTGCTTAGGCTCCGTTCATGTTTCGCGACTCGAGGACTTTAGTCTTAGTACCTTTAGTGCGACTGCAACAGACCCTACCGGCAACCGTTGAACCGCTGCAACGGTTTAGAGAAGTTCTTTTCTGAACCTGGTTGAGTTAGCAACGGCAGCGGTCCCACGATTACGTCAAATGGGGCGACGTCAGTTGCTCTTTGAAGAACTCGAATTGCCAAGTGTGAACGCGGCTTGACACAGTATTTGGGGTGGCTTTTTGTACCAAGTTTCGTTCCCATTGTGCCTTTTTCAGACACTTGGTTTTGTATCGGTACCACTGCCAATTGAAGAAGCGCATCGTGTTGATTACGAGATGGTGGATTTGACTGGAACAGCGAGCCTAAATAACGAGGTTCCTATAATAACTGTAGGTTTTAAGATCAAACATCGGTTTCTGAAAACTTTCTATCTTTTCAAGCCAATAACTCTGTATGGATTACATCCTGCGCCAATAGATCCTTGTCGCGTGGCCGCAGCGCTAAGTAGGGCCAACAACTGTAGAACCCTGTGTCCACCACTTATTACAAAATGCGCAGAAATTAAGTTGGGGGGGGGGTTGTGGTAGCTGGGTGCCATTTTGGATAAACCTCTATCCACAACGTACGGCATGCTCGTCTCGAGCAACGTGAATGGCAAGATCATTATCGCGGCATGGGTGGAGAACAGTGTAGGGTGAATCTGGAGAACAAACTTGAAACGGCTGTGACGGGAGGCGGTCAAGACATTCGTGATTTGCACCGTCGTGCGAGGCGATGAGCGCGGTGTTTTCTCAAGTTGCATTAGTTTGTCGATTGGAGCACTATATTTTGTGTAAACATAGATGTTTATGGCTATTTTCGGTTACACTTTGTCTATTGTCGCCATGTTGCAACCTGGAAACATCGTCATTTGTGAGCACGTCGCAGGCGAGTCCCCAGCGCGGCGATAGTACGGTTGTTTGTCACATACTCAATGGAACAAAGTAGCGCGTTTGCGTCATAAAAACTAAGTGCTAGCGTTGTTAGCATGCGTATTGTTCCATGTGCGTAGCTTGCCTGTGGGTACAGTATGAATCGGCATCGTTATCCCTAGCTTAAGCCCCACTCCGGTGCGCTGCAGACTAAAGCAAAAGTCACACTTAACCTCTTCACAACGCACATGGCAAGGATCACGATCCACAGAGGTGAGCGTACAGCATACATTTTAGATATAACCTTATGGATTTAGATGTCCTTGGAAGCGAGTGATATAGTAAAACGTCCAAGTAGTGGAAATCGTGCTCATTCGAGTACAAGCTCGTGGAGTGAGCAGCATGGCGTCTCCAGAGGGACCAGCCCTCCTTTCCGATCCGCGTCAACAGGTCCATCCACGATGCGTTCATCTCACAATGAAGATTACTTGATCACGGCTACACGTGAGGAGTTGGAAGAGAAACTGAAGTAGGCATCTCTTCACCTCGTACTTTTGAAGTTTTTTAAATGTAGGCGTTTCAGGCGAAATCTCTCTGATCTGGCGAGTTCGATGATGTCTATGAATAATCAAAGAATGATCTCTGACCAGCTATGCTGTCTGTATATGTAATTGCTTCACTTTATATACCTGTACTATACTTCACTTACAGTTCATTTTGTAATACTTGGTATTATCTGTTCTAAGAACATTCTGCTCATGATAAAACTCATATCATTAAGCGATAGTAAAGACATCGTTAATATGTAGCATGTCTGGTGGACTGGAAATAAAATTGAAAACGTATTTCGCGAGCTATCTTGAATGGTTAGCGTTTTTCGCAAAAAAGAAAAGTCGCAATATTGCTAACAATGGCGAAAAATGCTATTGGTCCAATAAATATGTGCATTAAAAGGCCTGCGCACTTGGCATGTAAAATCTCAAAAAATGGTGCACACACCCGCTCCTTTCGCGAGGTGCTTTAGAACGGTGTGCTATTCACTTCAAAGGCAAGAGTCCGCGATAATCAAATGGGCGAGGCTCCTCACCATTCCTCTTCCTTGTTCGCGCACCCCTGCACATCAAAAGGACAAAACCGCAATGGTTGAGTCTTCTCCCAACTATGTCCCCATCTAGTTATAGCAGAATACATTTCTAAGGTGTCAAGAAATAGCTGAAAGGGTGTCCGATTTACCTAGCTCGTCAACTTCTCTTTCTGGACCAACTGCTGGGGTGGGCAAAAAGAAGCGTCAGGCAGCGTTCGCGAAGACGCGCGTCGTCGCGCTACCTTTGAAACGGCGCTCCAACCCTATGGGCGGGAACGCAGCTGTGGACGGGTATGGATCGGCGCCTGCCACTCGAGAGACTATAACGAAATGGAATGGTAGGCGTTGCCTAATCACACAGTTTGGTTCGATCGACGCCAGCTGCTAGTGTTTTGGTGGGGCATAAAAGAATAGTAGGGTGCCAAACGGTGTGAAGGCACCCTCCTTTTATCGTGTACTCTCTCTCAAAGCTTAAACGGCCGGCGCCGGTCGATTCCAGGTTGCGTGATTAGGCAGCGCCTACCCTCCTACAGTCAGCACCGACCGTACCCATCTACGGCTCCGTTCCCGTCCATAGCGTTGAAGCACCATTGCATTGGTAACGTGTGGACGCGCGTCATCGCGAAGTCTGAACGCTGCCTTCCTTATGGAGCACATCATAGAAGCTTGACTGACGGGATAAACGAACACCTTAGGAACACCAGAAGGCGCGGCATTCGCAAAGGAACAGCGGACGGCAGATATTGGAGGGAGCAGACCAGATCGCTGAAGAAGGTGCTAGGCACCGAAATATTCGAAGGAAAGTATTAGAAACAATAAAAAATTTTTGCAAGAACTTTTGGATTCTTTTGAGTCTTTTGAGTTTTTTGCAATAAAATTTTTTGGCGCCTCTTTTACGTGTTTCATGTTCAGAACACCTTAGGTATTTACCGCGGACATTCCTCTGAAACCGGTTCGCTAGGAACTACAACGACGTTGTTCTAACAGCTTGATCCCTGTGGTGGATGAATTTCTCCCTTAATTTACCTAGGTTCCCTTCATGGACAGCACCACCTATCTGAACGTAAGATGCGCTCGGTCTCGTTCTGACCTCACCTGTTTCCTTGCTTGACTCTGCCAGTGGAAAAATTAAATGTTTCCAAGTTTACGGAATTTTCGCACCAATTTGGAAGGGCTTTGAGTTTTCCAAGCGCTGGGATAAATACTACGTTCATGATAAATACTACGTTGGCTAAGGATTTGTGTCGTGTTTATGGGTTTTCTATGTACATGGACAAAAAACCTTTCATCGGAGCATAATTATATTAGGTATCATAACCACATATGCCTGGCATGACAAGTTCTCCAAAGTTCATTATAATTGCAAATTCTTCATAAAAAACGGCCAATTGATGAAACTGATGTAAACAGATTCTAAGGGTTTCATCATATAAAATGCCACACGGTGGACCAGCTATCGACTCAGGATGCGCCATGTACTCGACTTCGAATCAGTATTGTAGAAACGATCGAATGCCGATTTCGCTTATGCAATTATCTGCGGAGGATCTGCTGTTGTTCTTCTTCTCCCATCACACCTGCTAACGATTTATCCGACAGGGGACGTCGTACATTGGGGATGCACATGGGGGATGGGGGAAGATCGCTCTTGACCACAGAGGGAGGAGGGTCGTATTTGCTTTCGAGAAAAAGTTTCTCGGTTGCGGACTTTTCCCGGTTTTCCGCTTCGCCCGAGGTAAAAACTGCGAGCTTTTCTGTAAAAAAAAACTTCGGAAAACGGGTACGGTGTTGAAAGAATTTGGAAAGTGGTAGACAGAATGAGAGAATGGGTCCTTGGGAAAAGGGACGTACCAGAGGGGGAAATTTCGAAGGGAATTAGTTTTTCCCAACAGCTAGACATGCCCTGTAATTCGCACCAACGTAATAGAATATTAATCCTGCTAGTTGCCCCTCTGCTAACGGCCTTACTTTCAGAGACAGTTGGCACCTGCCCTGTCATGGTCGACCGCAGAATAGGTGTTCTCCCAATCGCCGGAAGACTTTTGTATAACGACTTTTCCTGATTTCTCTTCCCATTTTCTTCCACGTCCGTACACCACTGTAGCATGACCTTTATGCGCTACATTCTTCATCTTGTCCCTAGCGTTTTCTGCGGGATCTGCTGCCTGCTGTTGTCAGACGTCGCCAGTTCTGTTCAGGGCCTTCCGCTGTAGTCGATTCAGAGAGGTCCCTCTTTAGGTGCCTCTGTCAACTCTGAGACTCACCGTTGTCGCTTGCCCAGGTTATCGAAGTCCCGTGATTTTCTTATCGAGTAGTTTCCAAGTCCTCCGAGCACGTTCCCCATCCATGGCAGTCCCTAAGAACTTGATTCCCCACCATTTGTGAATTGCTCAGTCGGATAATTTGGCGTCCGAGAGTAATGTCCCTATGTTGTCTTAGACTCGTCAAT